AACTTTGGAAAGCATATATATGTATGTATGTATGTATTATTGTGTTTGAAATAATTTCAATTTGATTAGATTTCATGTTTGTCTTAAAATGTGTTTATGTTGAATTATGATTTATTTTAAATTTAATTAAAATTTAAAATTTGAGTTAAATTTTAATTTGAGTTTTACATTTGGATTTGATTAATCATGTTTAGATTTAGATTAATTTCAAATTTAATCAAATATAAGTTTAGGTGAATCCTCCAAGATACATCTGAGCCAATCAAGGGTCCAAACCTAACCAAGTTTTGATCCACCAAGCTATGGTTAGATAGGCCTGACTTAGGTCAACCAAACCAAGCTAGGCCAACCAAGCCACCTAGGGGTTCTAGGAATGGAATCCTAGGTCAGATGGGGGTATAGTGGGGAAAGTGTTACAAAAACTGTGGTCAATGTTGTGGCAAAAACCTAGAGTCCAAATTCTTACCCTCAAAAGGGTAATGTCTAACACAAATAATATGTTGCAGGGACCAATAATGTGTGAAGCTTAAGAATTTCTTTAAAAATCATATTTCCCCAAAAACTTACATACCTTGGCCCAAACAACTAATTCACCCACAAAATTGAAAATCTTAATATTTGACCAAAGAAGAGCATAAAAATGCAAGCCAAGAGCCTAATTCACCATTTGAATAAAAATTTATTCTATTTAACCGACAAACCTCCCACTGAAGCAATAAATAAATAAATAAATAAATAAACATGCTTGGCCTAAAGAGCCTACTCAAGTATCATGGCCTTCTTTACCCTGAAAATTTATTCAATAATTTTATTCAACAGTACTGTTCTTATGCTCAATATTCAAACTTGACTCAATAGAAACATAAATAACAAATGCGATAAAAAAAAAGTAAAATTTTTAATTTAACTAATTTTACTTGGCACAAGATTAACAAAAAAACTATAAGATGCTCTCCTAGTTTAAATTTTACAAATCCTAACTAAAATATAAAAAGTCTCTATATCCTTATAAGCTAGAGGGAGAACCTACTTCTTGATTAGGTTTTTAAAATAAACTTAATATATTTCATGAACTGATGCATTTGAACCGCTATTTATAGATAAATTTGGTCTAATAAAAAAATTATTCATATGATTTATCACATGTTGAATAAGGTCTAATAAAATTGACTTACAAAATTAAAAATAACAATAGAATAAGAATGTGAATAACAGAGATTGAAGAATTTTCTTAGATATTAACCCGCACTTTACATATGATGGGAGACTTATTAATTTACGAGTTTTAGATTTAACCCTACATCAACTACTTCGAAATTGAATTAGTTTAGATTTACTAATACTTAAAAATTAAGCATGAATCATTTGGTTGAATATATATTAGATCGTTGGAATACTAAGATTAACTTCAATGTTTTTTCTATTATCATATGTACAAGGATCCTTTCAATCGGGAGAGTTATATCTCATTATGAGGGCATAACTTCCATTTATATTTTTAGTTGCTCTTCTTTAACTATATGGTCTTAGATTTATACAAAGAATTCATTGGTGATCAAATTCTCTCATATTTTCTCCTTTTTACAACATTCTTTGGTTCGCTTTCCCCGGTAGAATATATTTTTAATCTTTAGTTATCAAAACGTAATCAGTGAATTAAAAATTTAGTATTGATATATGTTGTGTGCTCATAAACATATCATATTGATTAGAAATAAAGTCCCAAAATACGGGGTTGAGCATTCTCTAGCTGAAATAAAAAGAATATTTTTTTGCTGGACATTAAATGCAGACATCAATTTTAAAAAACAATGAGGGTCATTTGAATACATATCACACAATTCTTATGTATTTATATATCTAATACTAAAACTTACATATTCACTTGAATAACACGCAATTCTTCAACATCAACAAGTCAAAAGTGCTCCACCTATTGATAATTCAAATCATAGTCTTTATTCAATTAATTGTCCCCGCTTAAGTTCTAGTATGGGCCATTACCATAAGATCAATCTCATAACATTTTCATTTTCTTAAAAAGGGTCATAACATTGTCACTTGACAATCAATCAAGTACATACCCTGACTTGCTGGTCGGCATCCTCAATATAAGACTGCTCAGACTGAGGGGTTTGAATCCCCTCTAACATAGTTGGTGTTAACGAGGTGATACTCAAATTGTTAGTCACATTAGGGGTGGCTGGAGACTATAATAACCTCTTGCCATTCCTTATAAAAATAATATATATATATATATAAAAGACATGTCCCCTCTTGATTTAACTTGACGAGAATACGTGCTATTATATAGCATTATAAACTACAAAATCATCGGTGTTTCCATCGAAATTGGCAATCTGATCTACAAACACATTGCTATGATTAATATCATGAACAAAAAAATTAAATGAAAATATATTATAAAACGTTAACAAACTAAATAATGTTGACTGAAAATGAGAGAGATGGAGGAAGAACAAACTTTCAACAATATGAATCCCTAAGTACTTGACAATGCTACCCTGTAGCTACATTACATATGAATCCCCAAGTACTTGACAATGCTACCCTGTAGCTACATTACACCATATAATGCAAGATAAAAGCATCACAGTTCTCACACCGCAAGTGCGCGCACAAAGAAAAAAAAAATTGAGGAGACAATAATCATGTACAATGTAGATAAAAAATGAACTAAACTTTGGAAAGCCAACACCAAAAAATATTATCAACCAAAGCTTAGATTGAAACAAACTGTTTCAGTTCGCCTCCGTAGTCTCAGCTGAGCCCTAAACATGTAATACTCATTAACAAAAATGTGTATTTACAAAAGTAAATATCGAAACTAGCAAAATCCCTAAAAAGTGAATTTTATAATATGACAAGATTTTTTATTACATTTGGAATCCCTGCAAAAAAGAAAAAAATTTAGCAGCACTGAAAAACATGGAGCCTCCAGAGCTACTACTGTACAAACAAATTCTTGGCAGCCAAAACTGTGGCTTTCATATCAAGTGGACTAGATTGCCTCATCATTTGAATACATTCCTTCTTTAGCAATCAAGATTACTGAAGGTATGCTTGAAGCAACAATCGAAGATATGGCACTGAATGCAGTTCCTCACCTAAAAACCCTGCGGAAAGACGGGACTTTTTCTTTTTATTTCTGGGGTTTTATATAATTATTTCTAAAAGGAAGAAATATTAAGAAAAAGAAAAAAAAATGTCTCATTTGTTTGTAGATCGTTCTTTTTCTTAAAGAGGGAAAATTTGAGAAAAATATATTACTAACAAAAATATACAAAAACAACCAATCACAAATCAAAACCTGAGCGCTAACTATTAAAAACACAAAATTTTAGCATAGACAATAAAGAACTTGATTTACATGCCTTCCCAATTGAGACAACTCTGGTTCCTTCAAAAGCAAGTTCTGTAGCAATTCCGCTCCACTCTCCTTGCTGTCATCAAAGCAGGGATGAAGACTTCTGAAACAAAGCCTTGTCATCAGGAAGTAATACAGTGGAATGCTGAGAGATTAACATACCTGTGATCAATGGAAAGAAGTCTATGGTGAATATTGAGGTCAGGACCAACATAGGTAACAACTAGGCTGCCAGCATCTGGGTGAGGCCAGCTGCGAGAAGTAGGAAACCTTAGCACAAATGCTCCTGACTTCTGAATTCCTCTTGGACCCTTCAGTGTGCTCTCAGCCTCTTCCGCCGTAATAAATCCTTCTATCCATTTTGGCAGGGTGCACTCCCACATTGCATTTATTTGCACGTTTGACAAAGCAACAGCCACTGGGTATAACCACTGCCACATTGTGATGAAATTTTCCAGACTCAGCTCCTCGCCACATCCTGCAATTCCTCGTAAAACCTCCAGATCCTACAAGATTTTTTGAATTAAAAGGTTAAAGATGGCTAACTTTGTGAATCACTGAATGCAGTGCTTTGGACAGAAAGATGAAACATTAACAAACCTTTTCAGATAAACCACGAGTGGTAGACCGTGAAATGCTCATGAATCTTTTGTTTATCTCAGGAGTTGCTGTCATCCAAAGGGCACGATTTCCATTCTGACAAATTGAATTCCAAGTATCATTTCCCTCTTTAATCAATTGTTTTGATATTAAAATTGGGTATCTGAGATGAAAGCAATACAAATTGTTAGAACTCAACATCCTTAACGTATAATTTCAGAGTTTTGGCCCTCATTGTTGAAAGAGGATTACCTATGATGCATGCATCCTGAATACAGGCAAACCTGCTCAGCAAAAGTCACCATTTCTTCATTGTTTGAAGATTTTATCATCTCCTTGAGTAATAAAGAACGTTCATATGTACCTTCTAAGCAGTACCTAAATATAACTACGTCGGAAGAAGGATCTATGGATTCTCCTATCCATTTAACATCAGAATTTCTAGCATCAATACTTTCGGAGTCAGAAGGGCAGCTGTCGAGTCCATCCAGATTATTTGGTTTTGCTTCAAAGTTCGTCTTGAGCACCTGCACATCCTTCGTGTACAATGATAACTCAGCCAGGAAACAAAAGGGGCATATATGCAAAAGGAATTAGCAGGTACCTGTGCTAGGTTCCCATTTGCATCTACTTGTCTTGATTTTTCTGAGCCTACTTTGGAACGTTTAGATGACAGAACATTGACTGGCTTCCCATGACTCTCTCTTTCAGGATGACCAATTCTAATGTCCTCATTAGTTACTTGAAGCCTATCATTCATTCCTGGAGCATGAGTTCTGTCACAAACTGGAGACGCTAATGTCTGCCTTTTTCCAATGATAATTGGCCGAATACAACGACTTCTTGATATACAACGAATTGGAGGACAACATGCTTCAAAAAATGGGTAACATTTAGTTTGTGATGCACGGAAACATATGCTGAATAGTCTATTATCAGACTTCGATGAAAGCTGAAAGAAACGGAAGATATCATCAATATTGAGAAAAATGAGTCTTCTACTTGCTTAATGGGATGTGATTAAGAAAATAGCATCTATAAGAAAATAATTGGCATGAAGGTCTTAACAAGCTAAATAGAAAATATAGCTGCAAAGTCAACTACATCATAGAAATGGATTATGTTCATATGCTATGATTAAAGACACTACAAAAGCATATCCAAGTAAGCTTAAAGGTCACGCGGCCAAGAAAAAGTGCAACTGGTTTTCTGTAGAAGGGTATTCAAAGGTCTTAGAACGAAATACCTGTGATATTTTAAGCTTAAACGTCGCACGGCCAAGAAAAAGTGCAACTGGTTTTTCTGTAGAAGGGTATTCAAGCCCCTCACAGGCTACCAATAGTGGAGCTTCCGGATTATCTTGAGTTTTCTCGATTGGGCTTCCACTGTTGGCATATACAAGTGAAGCAATGATCTGAAGCAAAGCAATATCAGTGAATGCATATGTATGTATGAACCTGCAAAACATATACATATATACATGTGTGTGTGCGCGCGAGCGTGAGAGAGAGAGAGAGAGAGAGAGATCAATAAGTAGAAGATCGTAGAAGAGACCTCCATGTCTTTATGTACTGTCCGACCAATAGCATCTAATAAAACAACATCAAGAGAAAAATTCCTCCGACAAGAAGCCTGGGAAAAAAGAATACCTTATAATAAGTTAATCTGCGCATGATTATATCAGATTATTTTACAGAGGTAGTCATATCAACTTGCTGAGAGATGTATAATAAAGTTTTCGTCAGGAGAGTTAAGAAATCTTTTTTATTTTTTATTTTTTTCTAGAAGTAAAGAGAACTTCCCATGTGAAAATGAACATTTTTAATAATATAAAAACAATTAAAGCATGCAATTAATAGAAAAATGTCAGTTTTCAGCATGTAACTCAATACCAATGTATTTCAACGAATGCATAGGTGTATAACGTTTCTGTTAAAAAATCCTGTAATGATAATTATGTTGCCTCCAATTGTTTCTCCATGACATTGTGTGAATAGACTTTAGACTATATGAAAGACGAAAGCTTATATAATATAAAAGCAATGTTACCAAAAAAGAAAAAAAAGGTGATGCAACATTTGGTACGACTTCTAAAAGACATGCAAAGCAAGTACAACTGGACTTTGAATAAAAAACTGATGTGCATAAAAAAAATTTCAAGTCAATAGCAATGCATGGTAACGGATGGAAATTTGAAGAGAAAGGTCACAATTTTAAATGACTATTTCTCACTTAAAGGTCAAATTAATAATAATACATCAAAAATCACTCTTGTATAGGATGATGATCTTTTTTTAAGTGAATTTTCCTATGGACTTGCAAAAATTTTGCTATCAAAACAGTTAGGATAAGCTGAGGATGATTCATGTAGCTATATGGTCATGAAATTAAGGTTTTTTTATTTCTTTTTCTTGGAAAACCTAAGGATTTATGAGAACATGCATAGCTCAACAAACGACAATTAAAGGAATAGGTATTACAAGCCTATGCAGTATAGAAACAGCAAAAAGAAACAAAAAAGGGTTAGAATATCAGGCCCAAATTATTGGTAAGGATGAGTTTTAAAAGTTTATTTATTTAAGATGACTGCAATAAAAATTTAATTGATTGCTCATATATATCGCACGCATCTCAAAACAATAACTTGGAGACCCATCCTTGGCCAAGGTTCCAACCCAAAAATCTTTCCACACAAAAATAGGAAAACAATACAATCCAAGAAAAATTTGTAAGCAAAGTTTGCCGAAATGAAAATAGAAAAGGACAACTCGGTAGCGAAGAAAGAAACGATATCTTGCAAACTATTTTATCTTCTAAGAAACAGCAGCACTTTTTTTTCTAATAACAATGTACTTGACACTACGCTTCTATAAGAAACTAATAAAACTATTGGATGCCGCTTTAGATAGTAACCAAAACTACTATTTTCAACAAAGCTAAAGATATATTAAACGAAAAAAGAGCCTAAAGACCATTTCTAGAAGCCATAAATACAAATGCAATAATCCTGAAGGTGATATAAATTTCCACAAGGTGATACTAATGGAAAATAAGTTCATGACACAGAATTTTGGTTTCAGTTGGCATTCGGAGGTGTAATAAAATTAATCAAGGGTAAAATATATGAATTCAAATAAAATATACATTTTTTGAGTGTTAAAAAGAGAAGGATTTTGTTGAGAATTGGACCTCATTTAGAGTCCCATTGGTAGAAAGGGAATATTGAAGAAGTCTATTGGATTTGTAAAATATTGCAATACCCAATTTAAGACTGCAATATAAATGTACAAAGCAAGTTTTGAACAATTCTTTCTTCATGATATCAAAGCCATTACCCTAGCCCTAACCCAAGCAGTTGGCCTTGGTGCTTGATAGTCGGGATCGGGCGTACAAAGACCCAAAACTTCTCTCCTTCCTCTTTGCCCTCGTGAGCAAGACGAAGACGGGATCATGGCTTGATGGGATTGCTTGGTATAGGGCATACGGAGAACCGAAACTTCTCTTCCTTCCTCTTCGTCCTTGCGAAGTTGAGCTTGAAGGGATCAAGGCTTGGAGATTCGCAATACAGTCGTGATTGGACCTAATAAGGGAGACCACTACGAGATTGCAGTGATACAGTCGTGATTAGAGCTAACTGGGAAAGCAATGATGGGATTGTGGTAGTGGTATATAGAGATCTTCGAAACTGCAGTTTGTATCTTTACCACACGAGACCCATCCGACAGAAGCCTCAGTCTCTCAATTCCTCCATGTTTTCCTGATCCAAGAAGGCAATGAAGGGATCATGGCATATTGATGCGAAGGATATATATTATTTGATTTGTGTGAACTGGGCTTGGATTCTTATGATTAAGGATGTCAAAAGATGAATATAGTACGAGAAGTAAAGGATTGAAGTTTATGGGAAAAAAAGATCCCGAAGTTCTTAAGTTTCTTGATCGGGCTTATACAGGGAGCTATTGTCATAACCGAAATTATTTCCTTACCTTTTTTTTTCTTCCTTCTTTCCTTCGTTGTTCACTGCATTGCTGACTTCCTAAAATCACACTTTCTTTTTCTTCTCTCGCCAGATGTTGCTGCCTTCCTGAATTGATCAAACCCACCACTTCTGGCGACTATTTAGGGAGGATAGAAGCAGGCAAGAGCATCACACCTCTCCTCTTCCTTTTGATCTTCCTCCCTCGCTCTCCCAATTTCACTCGAAACCATCGGTTTCACGCGCCGAGGCTTGAGATACAGCCGTGATTGGAGCTCGCAGCAAAGACAATGATAGGATCGCGACATACAGAGACTTGAAACTCTCATCTTCCTTCTCCTTATGTTCACTGCTATCAGAACCATTGAAGAAGGTAACCCGCGTCTATCTCCACTTCTCCCAGTTGTAAGTTCTGCAATCCTAAATCCCATAAATCCTTTTTAATGGTTTCTTAATCGAGGATTTTAGACAAAACAGAGGAGAAATAAGATTTGAGAACTGTAGAATTTGAAGCTCATTTTTTTTATTAATATTAACTAGGTTCATAAGTTACTTTTATTAAATATTATTATAATATTAATTTAATAACATAAGTAATAATCATAATAATAAATATTGATTACACTTAATTTAATTTCATACCTATTTCTATTTTTCAGATTCTAATCGATGTAGAATCGATAATCGAACCGTCAAATTTATAGAAGCGTCATGTACTGGTTTCAAGGTAAGTAACTGCTCTTTATTATGGGTTAAACATATCCTTCCTGGTTATGGGTGTTAACTTCGCTAACTGTATTAGATTCCTCGTTAATCGTAAGATTGTGATTCGTACCTCCTTTCAAATATTGTTCACATAGTTTTAGAAGTTTTTATTTTTGCTCATAATGATTTTAATGGATAATTAGCCTTGTTGCCTTCCTACTTAACCTATTTTTTGGTTGTTCGCATTTCATGGCTTCAATATTTAGTATTTCTTTGAATATTTGATGTGGTAAATCTCATTATTTCAATTTTAATAATTTCCTATAAATATTGGTTGACATATTATAGTTATATTCTTGTGTTGCAATTGCGATGCATAAAATATAACTAATATTTATAATATTATTATATCGGTATTAAACTCATTCGTTATGATTTGTCGGACCGACAGATCCTTCAGAGAAATCAGTGGATTTCTATGGGATTGGAGGCTACATTTTCTTGTTTCAGAGTGTCGTAGTAAACTAACTACATATAAATATAATTATATGTATGTATATGCATACATTGAAATTGTATATTATCAGGAAGTTGAAAATGATTGATTAATCATATCTATACCAAAACACCTGATATCTATAAAAAAATGCATATATAACTCTTATTCATGATCATAAACATATGATAATTCTTGTAATTTATTTTAAACACATATTCAATCATCTCTTTTTAATGGTCATAATGTATGCCCCATTTTCATTACCGTTTATGTTTTTAATAAATAGTAATAATTTATTGATTTTGAATTTCAAACTCACCAGTTAATATTTTTATATAACAGGTTTCACCCAACCACTTATTGGGGCATCTCCACCAGAGTTGACTTTTCAGATTTTGATTTACATTTGATGTTTTATAGTTTCATATGAGGTATTATATTTTTCTTTCTGGGTTGGGTAATTGTTTCCTTATTTTTATTTTTTTCTTTCACTTGTATTGGTTGTATCCTTATTTATGGAATATAAATTTGAATTTTTATCATTATTTCCATTTTTTTTTCTTTTAAGATACAAGCAAGTTAAATTCTTTTTATCATATCATGTGTTGTCGGGGTGTACTGTCTTCCAAACCTTATGTGTCACAGAGTGGTATCAGAGCCTGTGTTTTATATTTAACCTTCTTTGACTTTGCATCTCAAATCCCTTGATTTCATAGGATTGGGTAGGGGATAGATTATCTTGTAATTCAGTAAGTCCAATTTTAATTTTGTGTATCTTTCGGTTGTTTATAATAGCTCCAAAAAGAAGAGGCACTGCAGTTGCTCATGGAAGAGGAGTTCAGTAAGCTACTATAAATGAGATGCATGTTCTTAGGGGTCTCCGCTCCTCTAATCACCATCATATTGATTTCGCTTAAACCACCGAGACTATTGGAGCACAAAATCTCAACTTAGCGATTAACATGAAAGTGGTAACACAGAATGTTACCCAAGCGTCACAAGCTAACTTTGCGGCCCAAATTGCAGAAGTGGTCCAAGCTATCCAACAAGTTGTGCAACCAACAACACAAGTCACTCAACAAGTATTACCAGTGGTTGCCATGAAGACGCAACCCAAACAACCAATGGAAATGACTACTGGGAGTGCTATAGATTGAGAGATGCACCAGTTTCTGAAGACACATCCTCCTACCTTCAATGGCACGATGAACCCATACCTTCAATGGCACGATGAACCCAATCGAGGCTAATGCATGGCTCCATGATATCGAAAAGAGGCTTCGAGGAATAAAGAGTCCTGGAGATCTTAAGGTGGACATTGCAACATTTCAATTATGTGAAGGAGCTAATGACTGGTGGGAAAGTCACCGTCGCAACACTTTTGAACCAAACGCGGTAGTTTCCATGCTGGATTTCGAGAAACTGTTCCTATAACAATATTCTCCTTTAGCA